AAAAATATGGGATTGTGTTTTGCCATGTTTACCACATGGATTATGGTAGCTAAAGGTCAGGATATGATGATAAATATTCATTCCAAGAGCTGTATCTCTAAAAGAGCTCAGTGAAATAGATTGAGATATCGACAACTGGATCTATTTGGTAGTGTAAATAAAGACAGAATGTGGGTTGCAGTCAAAATACTGTGACTGACAACAATAACTAAACAGCCAAGTCCTGTTTTGCTTCTCTTTTCTTGCTGCCAGAGCTCCTTCCCAAAAACTTTCCATGTAATCTGGCTTCAATGACTGGTTTCACAAAGGGAAAACTGAACAATTGTGAAGTAGTTACTGAACCCTTGCCACTTCTGAACCCACTGAGATAAACGGTCTCTGAAACAAGTGTGCAATGAAGGACCTGCTTCTAGGCCTTCAATGGACAAGCCTCGTGTGGAGGGCTGGGATTCACAACTGGATACCACTAACTTGAGTCATCATTTTCCTTGCATTGTTGTGTGGGAGTAAGATCCCTCAGTGTGCGACATGAATTCAAAATTCTTTCATGAAGAGGTAATGCTCTTGGCCCATGTTGTGTTTTTTTTCAGTCTGGAGTGAAATGTACTCATCTATACCAACAAGGAGCAGTCATAAATATGCTTCTAGCTGTACTTGATGTGTTGTTCATACTCTTGAAATCCAGACCAGTTTTGCTTTCTTCAAACACTGGGTGTGGGCAAAGGACTGTCAACTCCATTTTGAGATGGAGTCTAGACTTGACTATGCAGTGTAGAAACTGTTGTCACTGTCCAGTTTTAGCAAATACTTGAGTCTCTTTTTTCAGGACAGACATCTAAAGAAATTGTCAGAACTTGATGGAACTGCACTGGTGTGTAGCAAAGTTTTGATGAGCGACTTAATACCCCTATTGCGTCATGATCCTTCTTGGATGCTTGAAAAACATGGAAGAATGCATAAACCAACAACTCTATTTTAATGTGAGATGTCTTATGGTAAAGTTGCTTTTACAGTGTACAGACTACTGCACTTTGTGTAGTTCTTGGATTTGTCAAACTCATACTGTAGTTTATTTCTTGGGGGAAGCCTGGGGCTCTGCTAGTGTAATAGCCAGGGCTGTTGTGTGTTCATTGGATGATGAGGAGGACATACTTTTAGGCTCCTTGCTAAAATGACAGATGTTTTAAATTAGCTTCTGGAACATTGCAAGAACTAATTCTTCTAAGGTCATCTTCCCTTTTAACTGGGGAAATCATATAAGCTGTGAGGAATATTTCACTTCCAGCATTTGGCAAATTGTCAAAGTGATATTGTTAAGATAGGTATTCAGAAGAATCTTTGTTTGAAAATAAATAAAATGACCCTTAAACAATAAACTTTGGACTCTCATCTTAAATACCTGTGTGTTTTATTCTATATGATACATGCAGTTTGTACTTTCAAAGGTGTAGAAGTAAAACGAATTAGATTTGACTGGGTGCTTGTGGTGTCTTTGTTTAAACAAACTTATAGAGTTACAGGAGCTGAAACTATTTCCCCTTCTCACTGAGCAGCTGTTGTTTGCTATATCCAGCAGGCAAAGAAGGTAGAGAAAGGACCTTGTGGGGTACTCATATCTTGCCTTTCCTGCAATAGCAGCAGACATGACAAAAAGCTGCAAAACTGGTTCTAAGACAAAAACTCAGCCTGCTCAAAATTTTTCCTCTCACTTTTCCACGGAGACAATACTCCCTATTAGGAAGCTTAAACCATACTGATGTTCTACTATTCAGCAGTAAGTAAGAGTGCATGAGACCTACAAGCAAGATTGAAAGCCAGGAGCAGGGGGAAATCTCAATCTCTTCCTGCTGCTTTGGCTAAGCATTCTAAGAATTTATCAGTGGCCATATACGCCCTCTGACTTGTGTGTCCCATTTCCTTTAAATTTCTCTGCTTGTCTGCTTCTTGTTCCCTGTTTTTTGAGCAGGGAGCAAGCAGGAAAATAGCTCACTCTTTTTTCAACTGATTTGTCACTAATCTCCCAAAGTGTATGGAAATTAATGTGAGTGGGTAGAAGCTATAACTATGAAACTGTCTGGGTAAGTCTTCCATAAGCACTTCCCTTACTCTGTAAGGTAGTGTTGAAGTTATGGTCCCTTGGCTGTGTTAGCCAGGGCAGTTTCTCTGGAACCATGAGCAATGGCCATTTCAGCATTATGTTAAAGCAGCATCACAGAAACATTAAGGTTGGAAAACCTTCTGAGATCATTTAGTCCCAACCTATGACCTATCACCACCCTAAGTGCCATGTTCAGTCTTTCTTTAAATGCTTCCAGGGATGGTGACTCTACCAACACCCTGGGCTGTCCTTTCCAATGTCTAATCACCCTTTCTGTAAAGAAATGCTACCTAATGTCCAACCTAAACTTCCCCTGGTGCAGCTTATGACTATGCCCTCTTGTCCTGTTGTTGGCTACCTGGGAGAAGACACTGGCCCCCCACCTGGCTACAAAGAAATTTCAGGTAGTTGTAGACAGTGGTGAGGTTACTCCTGAGCCTCTTTTTCTCCAGGTTCAACAACCTCAACTCCCTCAGCTGCTCCTCATACCAGACCTTTCACCAGTGGTGTTGCCCTTCTCAGGACTTGCTCCTGCACCTCGATGTCCTTCTACTAGTGAGAGGCCCAAAAGTGGACACAGGACTTGAAGTTCTGAGTACAGAGGCACAATCACTTCCCTAGTCCTGATGGCCACACTATCACTTATACAGGCCAGGATGCCATTGGCCTTCTTAGCCAGCTGGGCACACTGCTGGCTCATGTTCAGCTGCTGTTGACCAGCATCCCCAGGTCCTTCTCTGCTGGGCAGCTTTCCAACTGCTATGGCTCCAGAAGCTTCTGTATCATGGGGTCTGTTGCTTCACAGTTAGTTATGGAAAGATTATTTTAGGAGGCAAGAATATCTTAAACACAAGTAAGAATCCTCTTAGTTTTTTTCTATGAGTCTGAAATAAGGAATGTGTAGATATGTACATCTGCAAGGAAAAAAGTAATCTTGATCTCCTTGGTATTGGATTGTGGAGAGGGTAGATTTGCAGATTGATATAGCTGCAGGAAAAATAAGTCTTGAAGACATGGTCCTTGGAAATCAATACTGCTCTTGGTTTTTACCTGGAGCTAGCTTTTTGTCTGAATGATGTGTAATCTAAAGTTAATGCAAATAATTCCATTTTCTGTGTCATCTTTATCATGCATGTGTGCATACAAACTTGTGGGAAGCATAAAGAATGTGTTTCATGAGTGCAATGGAAATGATTAGAACGAAGCAGGCTGCTGTCTGGTGGGTCGTGTAACCCTGTCCCAAGAAATGGGGCATGAGACGCATTTAGAATCATTAAGACATGAAGTTTAGGATCAAAGCAGCACTGCACTGCTATGCACTAGGAGGGAGCATGACTGTTGGTGAGCCTACAATGAACACAAGAGACAAGCCTGCTGTAAAATTCAAGACCTTTAACTTCCTTTTTGCTTTTTCTTTCATTGCTTCTAAGTATCTATGTGATCACTTGTGAGCGTAGTACTAATAGATAAAAAAATAAAATAGGCCAGGCTGCATCTGTTTAAAGTAAATAGAATACCAGGGCCAATGCACTTCTGGAAAGGACTAGACTAGGAAGACACAGTTTTTGGCAAGCAGCAAATATTTGCAAGGAAATGGTGCTTCTGGAAGGCTGTACAGCATTAGAATTGGCAAGTGCTGTGCATACTGACACACTACATCTTCTGTCAAAAACCAGTGAATCTTTAAACACCAGCTGATCAGGGATTTTCAGGGCTATCTTGTCTAGCTTGAGCAGGTCTGGCAGCTCTTAACACAAAATAGTGTCTGGGTTAAAGACCTTCTGCTTTGTGATGCCTCTCTGAATAGCTTATTCAGCTGGAAAATACAGCGAACAAAGGAGCTGGAAATATTTTGTCAAGTTGGTGATCTCACAGTTCAGAGAGTCAGCTACCAATTATAAAGACTTCTATTGTATAACACAAGAGCTAGTCTATAGAAAACTCCAGATCTTACTCTATCATTCTTTATTAGCTTCTGCATAATTATTTTTGCCTAAAGGATGGTGTGAATGTGGGCTGTATTCTCGGTAATTAACTACATTTTTCTAATAGACTAAGATGAATAGCAAAATGGGGGTAATTTTTTTTAACTTTGAACTTGATTTCTGACTTGTGGGGATTAGGAGGAAGGGAAGCCATCAAGAGTTTAGTGATTAAGTTTTTACAACTAAGTGCAGGAAAAAATAGCATTGTTTCTATGGAGAGCGGGAAGAGGGAAAATGTGTGTCTGTCCCCATTTAATTTAGCAGAGATGTTGGCAGGAAACAACTTACTATTTCTAACATTAGGCTAACCACAGTATATACTGGTCTCAACGTAGTCACAGCAACAAGAACCTAGCAAAGTAATTATTATTAGTGCAAAGCATTTTTTTTGTTGTTGCTATTTTGCTATTTGCTTTCATCTGGCCTTTACATTGAAATTTTGATTCTTAAGTATGACTTCTTTCTCCTGCAGGTTGGAAAAGAGACTGTGCAGACAACAGAAGACCAGATCTTGAAAAGGGATATGCCACCAGCGTTTATCAAGTAAACTCCTTTTATTGTAAATCTTGTATTGTAGGTACAGGAAACCTGTTCCAGTGACAGATCAGTGTTACTCATTTCTGCTATACAGATTAGAAAATACTCTTATATTTGAAAAGTTCTTAGGGGTCTTGAGGCTGACTGTTGTCAGGAATGGCCTTTTTGGCACTTGTCCTGTTACCTTCTGTATAGGCAGGCACATATATAAGGTATTTCTTCCTTTAAAAATAGTAATAATAGAAAAATAAATCAGAGTAACAGTGGTACCTACCTGTGTGCCATTGTAGGTTTACCTAACAGTGTCAGAGATAATGTGTTGTTCTCAATCTTTTCTATCTGGTTGATGGAGAAGTGTGAATTTGCCAGTATAGGCAGCTGATGCATGATATAACTGCTGGAAATCTAACATTTGAAGAGCAGTGACTTACTGCAGGCAGTCCGGTAGACTGTAAGTCTACTTACAGCAGGCACTGTTAATTCTATGACTAGGTGTCAAGGACTTTCTCCTTCTGTTGCCTTAAGTCTTAAAAATGAAACGTTGCATCTTGTTGTGGAATTGCCAAGCTGCTTATTGCCACCTGACAGACTTCTGCTGAAGAGACTTTGCCATACAAGCTACTGAAACTCTTTGTTAGTGTTGTCCAATGTATACAGAATGCCTGAATATTCTGCTGCATTTCCAACCACCAAACAGGCAGACAGTCATAACAAGAAAGCATCGAGGCAATGAAGAGAATAATAAAATGGAGAAGAGAGTTGATGTCTAAAGAGAAAATTTATGGTAGGCAGTGCAAAAGGATGTCGTTTGCTGTGTTGTAGGTTGAAAACGTGAATAATTCCAATGATGGCTAGGACAAGGTGGTATTAGCATGCGAGTTCAAGAATGACATAGCTGAATTATTAGTGAAGTAGTCTGGCACTTGATGTCACTGATACGTCAGTCAAAGTGCTGCCACTGCCTGGGAAATTTTCTAGGGGAATCTGGGGAACAGGAGGTCTATAGGTCTGACATGCCTTTGGAGCAAATGACTAGAAATTCTGTATTAGAGAAGAGAATTAATAGATGCCAAACATATATGACGTGCTTTGGGTGAATTGTCAGTGTTTCTGTGGAGGGAAATTCTGCCTTATAAATCTGTTGATATTCTTAGAAATATCACAAACAGGGAAAGGGTAATCCAGGTAATACAGTATACACTGATTTTTCAACTTTTTGGCAGAGTCTAGAGGCTTTTAAGAAAATGAAGCAGCCACAGGGTAGTAAGAAAAATTCTTGAATGAAAAAGAGAGAATTGAAAGTGGTTAACCCTGACAATGGCAGGAAGAAATCACTAAGGCTGTAGAGCTCTTTGTTGAGATTGTACTTTTCACCATGTTAACAAAATCAGGATGAGCCATGAGACAAAAGTATTTGCCTATGACCCAAAGTCTTACACAGGGTAGTGAGGTTAATGGACGACTGAGAAATTCCAGCAAGACCTTATTAATTTGAGTGACTTGATATTAAGTGTGAACTAAATTGTATTGAAAGATCTGAAGTGCTGCACACATGGGAGAGCAGCAGGTCTAGTGTCAGATAGGATGACTTGCTGAACTGACCATTACCAATAGTGACCAAGGTCTTGGAGCTGTGATGCATTGGTGAGAGCATCCATTATATGCTCATAATGTTCAAAAAGTAAATAAAACATTAGGCTTATGATCAAAGAACAAGAGACCAAAATGTCACTGTATATTTTTCTCCCACACCTTGAATACTGCATATGCTGGTTTCTCACAATTTGAGAAAGGCTGTAGTGGTGCTGGAAAAAGCTCTCAGAAGGGCTTGGAGAACAAAGGCATGGAATTACTACTGTGAAAGGCGAAGTAGGCTGGAAGTTTTCAGCCTGGGAAAAGTGACAGAGGGGATTGAGGCCCTCACAAAGATCTAAGGAAGTATGAGTTGCATGGAGAAGATGGAAATGTGCACTTTTTTCCTGTGCAAGAACTTGATGGGGGAATGGCTTTAAGCTAGTAGTTTATAAACCAACAGTAGGGAGAGATTTTTTTTTGTACAGCTAGTTGTGTACTGTTAAAATTCTTTGTATGGGTTTGGAGGTTAATAGATAGGTACTTAGAGAAATCCATTGTGGGTTATCAAATAGACAAACTGCAGGAAGTCCCAAGACCTGAAAAGCGTTGGAGGATGGGAGAGTGCCCAGAGGAAGTATGATAAATGCTTATCCTGTTCTTAACCTTTCTTAGGCATTTACTTGTAGCTACTTGTGGAGACAAGGATACTGAGCTAAATGGACCTTTGATACAATCTGCTACAGTATTTATCATGCTGTGTTCCTGGTGTGCGATCCTTATTGAGTGTAGAGGGGTTTGATTTTTTTCTTTAAGAGTTTTTAGAGGGGGTGTTTACATAACAAAATAAGATCAAAGCTTTTTTTCTTCTTTCTTGATAAATTGCGTACAAACATGTAATTTTCATTGTGCTCATTTTCTAGGATGTGTAGTTTTTAGTTAACTTCCAGCTTCTTGTTCACCTAGACAAGTAAGGGATTAAGGAAAAGATATTTTCTTAATTGCTATATTGTATTCAGCCTTTGATCAACACTTAGCAGATTGTGAAGACTTCAATAATTAAATTACTGTAGAAATGTGATACAGGCACTGCTGAATAGTACCACTTTATGCTTTCTGCAAGAACTTTTTCTGCAGTAATTCATGACTGCTCGAACTGCAATATAATGAAAACCAGGAAACAAAGCCATCTGTCATAGTAATGTAACCTACTTCACATAGTACTTACTATCCTAGATGCAGTAACAGGAGTTAGGAATGTTCTTTGAGAGAAAGAATAAATAAAGGCCTTTATGAATAATAGCCTATTTAATTTGTGGGTTATTTGTTAATCTGGAGTTTATATCAAAATGAACTAGTACATGTTAACAGTTCCTTCTTAACACTATGGGAGTGTATTGTCACTGATGTCTTTGTTGTGAGGACAAGTGATAGTCACAGGTGAACTGCCAAGGAAGTCTTACCTTTTTCTGCATTAAAGGACAGGATTTAGATGCAGAAAGTGAAACAGATAAGGGTTGTTTTTTTTGTTTTGTTCTCCTGAGAAGGAGGGGTTTTGTTTCCAAAGCGTTAGTTCAGGAGTTGGCATTCCTTTTTAAGGGAGTGCTCCAGCAGAACTTGTACTGGCACATGGATGATGGGTAAGAAGTACACGTGAGCTACCACCCTGTCCATATTTCCTCCACTCTAAAGGATCACCAGTCTTGAGGAAATCAGTCTTGAAGGATCAGGGAGAAGATTTGTTTATTCTTTTGAAAGGCCTGAGGTTGGTGTTGAGGGTTCATAATGAATACATATGATGGAAATCTGTAAGGCTTTTCAGTAGGAGTGTGTTTGTGCAGCAAAATAACTTGCTGACTGCCGAGGAGCTATCCTGCTTCCCTTTGCTTGCTACTGACACAAACCACATTGGAAGTGTTGACTTAGAGTTTAAAAATGCTGTGTTCTTTATCTTAATTGTCTTAATCACCAGGGAGTATGAGTAATGCATATAATTTACATCAGATGTTTTGCAATGTGGTCATATTACTTGTTATACTCATAAAGAAGGACAGAACAGGAATCTCTAGGCAAAGGATAGAGTAACACCTCTTTGTTTACACCAAGAATAGAAATTTGAGTTTTAACTTGCACACACAAACTCATTTAACCAGTCAAGCAGTAATGATATTCTATATTAACATTGTTTTGATAGACAAGTTGTTAACTAATAACAGTTACCATTAATGTCAAATATTTGCTTTTTAATTTATATTTCTAGAACTGCAAGTAATCTAAACTGTAGCGAGTAAAATGGAAAATGATCTCTGGCAAAAGCAGAGGTTAATCCTGAAAACCAAAATGGTAGTTTAGCATAAACTACATTTTTTTTCCTCACATTTCATAAGGAATATGCCTAACAGGGATGAAGCTGATTGACTACCAAAAGTAGTATGGCTAGATATATCATGACCATTCTTCTCCACAAAGAATCTGGCTGGTGTTAATGTACTTTTATTGTAGCCATGCCTCAAAATTATACTTATTTTTATCAAGCTGTGGGTTGTTGTGGGTTTTTTTTAGGTTGCAATATAATACAGAGATTAGAACTCTCACTGTAGTAATGAATTTCTATTCAAAACTGAATGTGCTTGATTCTTGTGATAGAATAAGTGGTTGCACAGAATATTTTTAGTGGTTTTTGTTTCTTTGTATTGTTTTGTTTTATTTGCTTTTAATGAAAGTAATGGAATACCTTTTTTCCCAAATTCTAGTCTTTTGTTTCCCAGTGTGTATGCTTTGCAGGAGTGGAGGGTGTCTGATTTCTCTGTACATGGTTCACACTCCTGAAGTATTTCAAAAGCATTGAGAAGTTTATACAAAATAGGCATTGTACTACTAAAATGCAAGTTTACCTTTCAACCCTAAAAGCTCTAAAGGAGAAATTAAAATCTTTAGAAACTTTTTTTTTTGTAGTTATGGTGACTTCTAATGTAAGACAGCTTTATGTTAATTCTTTTCTTTACAACTGAGAAAGCTAGCCTTGAGATAATTATTAGTATTAAACAGATGACCATGAAATTACCCTGTAGGAAATTATTTCTGAGCTTTATAGCTCCGAGCTGGATGAATAGGTGATCTGTTTAATCCCTTTCTTGGCAGAGTTGAGAAGAATAAATGTGAGAAGCAAGCACGGAAATTCAATTTGGTGAAGTCAGTTGACTTTGATAATACAACTAAGTGCATTGCATAGTAATGAGCAGAGCATTCCCATTTTCTGCCTTGAAGTCCTTCTGCATTTTTGTACTCAGTTTTGAGTTAGAGCTATCTGATATGCTGAGCAGATGTCTCACCAAAGAGCAGGTTATGATAATGTAGCTGGTCCAATTTGATCTACTCTAGGGAGCTATTAGCTGAAAACTTTACTTTCTGGAAAAAAGTATGTTTTCCTGTAATGAGTGTCTCATTTCTACTAGTTACATCTAGATGTAACCATTAAATTCTAATATTTGTGCTAGCAAAGAACATAGGGGAAAAATAGAATGACTGTAACTTTCCAAAAGTACTTCAAGTATGATAAAAGAGAGTATCCAAGTGGTCAGTAGAAAATGGGCTATGTGACAAGCATGAAAAAGTGGTGGTAACATTGCTGTAATAAAAGGGTTTGATGTTTGTTGGAACCTCACGTAACTTGAGTGAGCACATGGCACTCACATGCCCAGAGCTTGTGTTACACTACACTTAGAGGAAATGGGAGAGAATGGAGGAAAGTTACAGTCAGTGTAGTCAGTAACTACAGTCAGGAGTAGCATAGCTAACATGAAAGTGAAGTCTGAATTTTGTATTTTGCTAAAATGTCATGAAGTAACTGCAACAAGAGAACAAAACCAAAATGTTTTCAGTCTTCTAGTTTTTGATATTTTAAAATTGTGTTAGATGGCTTGATGGGAACCAATTTCAGAGAACATTTTCTTATTTTAGTACCTTCTGTGTTACTGTAGTTACGTACTGTAATATCTTGCAAAACCTCCTTCCTTTTTTTAAGTCTGGATTTGCAGGGTGCATTTGAAGATTGTACTTTATGACTAAATTTTGTGGTTATTTAAAATGCTATTTCTGTCCTGAGTGTTACATTCTGAAGAGCTGGCCTACAGCTTCAACACGCAGGGCACAATGTCTTGGTGTTCTTAATACTATGTTGTTTTGTCTTAATGTGTAGCTATCATTTAATACTTATTAACAACGATTGCTGCTTGAGTGCCAATGCATTTAGAAGGTTGATAAAAGTTAGCAATTACTTTGATCATGAAGTCTTATAGAATAATTACTTTGTTCCCTGCCCTTGTCATAAGAATGTGAAGTATTTTGCCATGTTGGGAACTCTTCTTAATGCCACTGTATTGACTGCTGTACAAGGGGCACTTCAGACATTCTCTACATGAGAAGATTGTGGCTTCTGACAAACGGTGTTGTATGGTTGCTGGTTACTTTCTTGCTAAAGTAAAGGCAATAAATACTCTTGCTTTTTAAACTGTAAAGGCTTAGAATGGTCAGTTTGCTTGCAGTGTTTCAGGTAGTAACATTAAAAATAAATCCAACGTTTTCTCAAGTCTGTTGTCATATAGACAGAAACTAATCAGCACGTTTTGTCTGATGGTTTTCCACAGAGTGGAGAATGCCTGCACCAAACTTGTTCGGGCAGCCCAGATGCTGCAGGCAGATCCATACTCAGTACCAGCTCGTGACTACCTAATTGATGGATCAAGAGGTATCCTCTCTGGAACATCAGACTTGCTTCTGACATTCGATGAAGCAGAGGTAGGAATCCCAACATGACTGGTATAGGTGTCTGCACAATAGCAATATTAATTAACACCCTCCAACTGAATTAGCTGATCTAAGCTATTCGGTAGATTAATGTGTTTTTGATAATTTAGCTTGATTGGAAGCATATTTTGCATTCTTTTCTGTCAGAAGGAGCTTAGACTTGTTGCTCTGTTTTGTTAAAAGTGTCTTTGCATGACATAATGTTTAGGCGTTGCCTGTGATTATTGCTCCAAAAGGTCAGATCCCATCAACTGTCTTGTATCTTCCTGGCACTTTTCTGTATTCCCTTCACCATACCCATTACTGGTCCTTGTATTTTCTGTATCCCTTCAGTGAATAGCCCTAGGCCACTTCCTGACTCATTAGCTGTGGCAATTTAATTGGCCTTGGGGCGGAGGAGGTAATACAAATTTGGACTGTCTGACTGGTCAGGCAGAAGATGTGTTCTGATACATCTAAGAGTTGCTACATTTTGGCTGCTGCACAAGGCAAAAAGTGGCTCAGAAATGCTGTTTGTCCATCCTCAAATGGACATAATTGCAAGGAAACTTAAACAAGTGTCTTATGCTAGAAAATGTTTCTTTGTTACAAATCTTGGTTTTGATGCCCTTTCTGGGGTTGTGGAGACTTGCCCTTTTCTAAATAGGAAATATCATGCTGCAGTGGAGAAATGAATGAAGCTCATACTGTTAGAAATGCTGATGTTAATCCTAATTTTGAAACAATCTGTTAACCTATGGAATTGTGTTACTATTGCTGCTGTTCCAAGGAGTCTAACATGGCATCCTTTTCTCATTTAATCAGCTCATGATACTGTTAGCATGTTCCTCTGAAATGAGAATGCTATGGGAGTTCTCTATGGCAGTTGTGATTCTCATTATTTTAAGTGGTTTTTAATAGAAGTGTTGCAGGACAGAATTTCAAGGAAGTTAATAGTTTTTAATCTGCCTGCTTCCAGTGTTTAGGAAATGAGTTGACTTCTGTGAAGTTAATGCTTCATTGAACTAGTCTGGCAACTGCATGTTAACCAAAAGAAAGACATTAGTCAGGAAAGATTGACTTTTCACAAGTACAAAAATTGGCATGTCTTTGTCCTAGTATGTTTTGATATAAACTTACATTGGGACAAACTGAAATGAGCTTCAGGGTAAACTTTGATCTGTTCTAGGAACTGAACACTGCATGTAGTTGATAGGAATTATGTGTTAATTAACTTATTCTTCAATGAGAACTTCATGTGATGTTGTCAGAAGTAATGTGCTTCAGGAGGTTAGAAGATTAAGTGACAGAGAACTCTGTTTTGGAACCAAGTGGAAACTGAATAAGTTAAGCTGAGGCAGAGGTCCAGAGGTAAATGGAGTACAGTCTTCACAGATTTTTCTGGAAAGCTTAGGATGTTGGATCTCTGTTTCCTGCTGGAATGCTGGATAATGCTTTATCCATATGTAAAGCTGCATGGTAAATGATACTTCCTCTGAAAGCTGGAAGTCTGCTTTCTATGCAGTTCTGCTTTGTGATGAACTTCAACATTTTTATTGATTAAATTGCAATGAAAAATTTCAAGCATAGCAGCATACCTAAATGCAGTTCCTTATAGACTATTTTCTCAATGCTGTCCTTCATTTATTGTACAAAGGGAAAACACTGAATGTAGGATTTTGCATTTCTGACTAGTGGAAAGCTGATTAAATATTCTCTTGTCAATACAGCATCAAGAAATGTGATTTTGGATAACTTATTCAGTATCCTGGACCTTTCATCATATTAGCAAATGTTACACCTATTCTGTTCTAATAACAGCCTTGCATTTCTAATTCAAGTGTAACTTAGCTTCACCTAACAAGTAACGGAATGTTCCTCTTTTAGGTCCGTAAAATCATCCGTGTCTGCAAAGGAATATTGGAATATCTGACTGTGGCGGAAGTGGTAGAGACAATGGAGGATTTGGTGACATACACCAAAAATCTAGGGCCAGGTTTGATTTGCTATGGCCTTTCATAAATATTCTAAGTATATAGTCTTTTCTCTTACCTTGTTTTCTCCCCAGCACCTTCCTCACCCCAGTTTTGAGTGTTTGGACAATGATAAAGCAGTTACTTTGGAAGTGTCTGTTGGAAAGAGTTTTTAAGAATGCATTAGTAAGGGTTTAAGAAAAAAATTGAAAAAGCTGTGTAACTAAGCCTTCACAGATATAAAATCCATTAAGCTGATAAAACATCTGTACTAACTGAGATAGTTAGGCCTAGTAGGAATTTCTTGGAGTAGTCTAAGATACATGTCATATATTAGCATCTTAATAAGGTTGCAGGAGTTGTCTTGCAGTATAAAACAAAAGCCCAGCTGTTACAGAAATTCTTTGTTCATTATTTGATGCTCCTTTACTACTTGTTTCTTCACTGTGTTTACTCACACTTTCACTGGTGGAAGTGATTGGTAAGTGAAGAACTGCTGTCTGTATCTCTCTATTGCTAAAGAGGAAACCTACCATTAATCTACCTCATCTGCTATTCCAAATGCTGTAGTTTCAGCAAGCATGAAGGATTTTAGATATTTAACAAAAGCATTCTATAAAATCTAGATGTGGTGGTGGTAGTGTAGGAAGATGTGGGAATTAAAGTTCTAGTGAACTAAAGAATGCTTCTATAAACACAGCTGGAATCTAGTTAGTGCTTTATGCATATAAGTAAGAATAAATGTGTAATGTAGCTAGGTCATAAATTAAATGACTAAGAGCTGTCATGTCACAGAGCATGTTTGTACATTATCCTGGTTTTATTTAACATGTGTATACTTGACCCTGTTTCTAGATGTGAAAAAGATTAAAGTTCCATATGGAGATAGTGTTCTCTAAACTCTTAATTGCCATGAGAAATTACCTTCAAGTCAATAGTTCTTGGCTCATTTTGGACAGGAAAAGATAAAGCAGAAAGGGCTTTTAGTTTCCCTGTGGCTGTTGTCTTCCATGTCTTGAAAGTGCAAGTTCCCTCAAACTTCAGTTTGCTCTGTTGAGCCCAGTGACAAGCATGTGGGACTTTTCATTGAACCTCACTGACATAATTTGATGTTACATGTGTATGATAGAGGGAATAGGTCTTGGGCAAGTGTCTTAATTTCTTAGAGTGAGATGTAGGCTTGTTACCTTTATTGCAAATAATCTTCTCTTAATTCATGCTATTCTGAATGAACAGTGAACCTCGTGCTTCTGGCATGCTATAGGAGCTCTGTCTTTTCCTGAGCTGAATGATGCTCAGTGCTTGCAGCCCATGCCCACAAAACTCTTTATGTCTATAGTCCTTGTTCCCTTTAGCTATATTAATCTGAATGTAACCATAAATGTGAGCACTACATAAATAACAGGAATATAAGCACATACAATTAAAATAAAAAAGTTGCTTATAGGTTTAATGTTGGAAGTAGAAAGGAGAACATGAATACCAATTTTGGCTTTTGTAATTTGAAAGGGAAGGTGGTTCTGCACAGCTCACCTCTCTATGCTGTCAGTGTGGGGATTCTTCTATTTTGCAGTGTTGTGCCCAAAGTGGCCTTGTTGTATAAAGATGCCTAAGATGCTAACCAGCAGAGAGGTATTTCAGCCAAAGAATATACAGCTTCCTTCCAGTTTTCTTACTTGTAGGGGGGAGAGCAGGACCAATTGAAATAATCTTAAAATAATCTTAAATTTTTATGAAGCTGTGTCTGAAGTTTCCATATGTACTGTGTGATGGGCCTCACAAGTCTTACCTATTGAAAATAGATGTACTCTAGAATAATATTTTTTTCATGCTTCTAGGGCACTGAAATATTTCTAGCAGATTTGAAGTACAAATAAATACACTTCTTGACCTCTGGTAGAACCTCAGGGCAAACAAACAAAACCCTGATGTTTCCTTTTTCTGCTATACGCTTAAGTCTTGGATCAAGTCTTAACAGAAAAGGAGAAAAAACCCCCATAAATTAGCTTTCAGAGTTCATGAAGTGACTTCATGTCCTAAACCCCGGTGATTTCAAGTATTTCCCTATTTTATTGCTGGGATTTTAAATAAAGAATTTTTAGCAATCTGTTCTACTTGACGTGGTGGCTAGGTTTTGAATTGGTGACTTTCCTGAGCTATCTGCAATGTATTTTAAGTAATATAGAAGCTGCTAATATAGAAGTTAAGTTTTAAACTTCAGTATAGTTTTCATAACTCATTATGCTTTGTTCTTATTCAGAAAGCTCAACTGTTGCAATATTCAATTACTTTAATCTTTAGGAATGACAAAGATGGCCAAAATGATTGATGAGAGACAACAGGAATTAACTCATCAGGAACATAGGGTTATGCTGGTAAACTCCATGAATACCGTGAAGGAGCTATTGCCAGTACTTATTTCAGGTATTTTTGGCTTTGTTTTTTAATATCACTCTGAATTACTGTTTTGAACTGGAGTGCCAATGTCTCATGTTTATTAAAAATAACCTTGACATTGCTTCTGTAATCATTGTAATTATTAATTCTTTAATCATTGGGAATAACTGTCCTGCTTGTATTAAAACTACAGTCTCTTTGAGATACAATGGGCCATGCGAAAAGAAAATGTACCATATAAATATGATAGGAGGTTATCTTGACTATTGATTGGATTTTGTATGTACCTTCTTCTAATCCATGGTATTTTCACAGCTATGAAGATTTTTGTAACCACAAAAAATTCTAAAAGCCAGGGAATAGAAGAGGCCTTGAAAAATCGCAATTTCACAGTAGAGAAAATGAGTGCTGAGATAAATGAAATAATTCGTGTATTGCAACTCACTTCCTGGGATGAAGATGCCTGGGCAAGCAAGGTACGATTCACACCTACATTTGTACAGAGGAGTCTAATTTTTATCTACTGTGTTTTACCCTTATAAACATTTGCTTTTGGGACTGTTGAAATACGTGTTTGTGCATCGGCTTTGTAACACTATGTAATCACATCATTTAATGTCTTGAAGGTTGAAGAATATCTTCAGAGATTAATGTGTCTTTCAAAATTAGCTTTCAATAAGTGAAGTTAAAGTAGTGTGGCATTTTGAAGGTGGCTCAGTGGTTTACTGCAACTCAGTGGTCAAACAGAAGACAGATTTGTTCACAGTTTAGTTTTGGCATCATTAGGAAATCCTGGACTATAGTGTATTCCTCTTAGTGAAGGATTTTTTCTCTATATGTAGTTACCCTACATAATCATATTTGGCAGAGGAAAGTTAGGTATAAAAGCTATTGTTCTATATGTTAAGCTGGTCTTGTAGGTGGGCATTCATAAATGAGATTAACTGAGCTTTTTCTTCTAGATGCAACTAGAAAAGATAGGCTGCTGTCATATTCCTTATGCAGGAGGCCTGGAATTGGGACATTTTAGTCAATTTTTGGGAATTCCTCCTTGATCACTTTCTCCTTTTCCCCTTGCCCCATTTTTATTCTGGAAATGAGGGTAAATTTTTAGTGTCTTGTCTCAAAGAAATGTGTTAGACTGAACAGCCTTTCTGGGTAAGTCTGCAGTGCTGGAATGTGGACAGGATTGGTTCCGTATAACTCAGTGTTAAGCTGTGTGAGTGGCTGAAACCACTTACTTGGAGTTAAGTGCTGCTCTGAAGTGATACTCACTGCAGATAAAAGATGTCTAGAAGACTGTAAAACAGGTCTGACAGACAGAATCAGGAAAGTGTTGTGAGCTTACAAATAAATGCAGCTATGTAACTGAAATAAATTCTTGCCAAATTTTTTTTTTTTGAGTACTTGGAAGTAAGTTACTGAAGGGATTTTTTCAGGGGTTAGTGCTGTGAGCAACAAGTAACTGTAAATATCATTAAATAAAATACTGAGACCTGAAGACAGATTGGTTAGCAAATAAAGTCTGGCAGAAAATCTAACATTGATGTAATCTAGAGATTAAAATCACTTTGGCCTGTGTTGTTTGGCACTTGACCCTTACTTTGCCTCTTGAGTGATTTTGTCACTATCACTTCCTTATTATGACCACTGTATGCATCTTTGTTTTTGTTGTCCTGTTTCTTACCCTTTCCTCACCTTTAGAAGGTAAGCTTTCTTCCACACCCTCCACCTCTACCTCGTACTAAACCCAAAATAGCATGTCTGGGGTTTTGTGCTGTGTGCAGGCTGTGTGCTGTGTGACTCCTTATTCGTGTGCCAGCTGTGACACTGCACTCCTGTATACACACAAAGTTTTAAAGGGATCTTAATAGCTCTGTCTAGCTGTGTGTAGAATTGGCTGTCACTAAGAGAATGGTAATTGCAAGCTGAACTGCATTAAGACTGTCTGAGTCTGATTAGGGTTAGGCCGAGATTTTACAGCACATTCTTTCTGAATGCTTTTGTGTTAATTTATGTTTCTAGTCTCTGTAGTGACAAATAAAGGGTCCAGTCATGCAGGAACAAGCTTTCTGCATGCCTAGAAAGCTTTGTTGAATCAGGCATTTTGTCCATTCCATCGTGTTTTACCAGCAGCCTTCCTCCAGTTCAGATGGTTCATGTTCTTTAGATCTAGGCCTAAAACTGCACTTTTGTATGTGCACTTGTTGAATGCAGTTTTATTTTTGGATTTAAGCTTTCCTGTATTTTATGAAATACAAATACAGTTCTATTTTACATAACAAATTTAGACATTTTTGTGGTTAAACAAAAGCCTGTTGCAAAAAGTTGGCAATATAGGATTGGAAAATTCTTACTCCTCTTGCTAAGGAGGCAGACCAATAAAGGATTTATTTAAGAAAACAGTTGGTATATTAGTAATATTTCTAAATGGAAAATATCAGTCATTGTGCTTAACACATAAATATGTTGTGTGGACTAATATAATCAAAGTAACGTTCTGCTCTGTGTTGAGAACTTCTTAATTGTATTTTGGTTTTGAATTAAGGTACACTGATAACTTGGAATTGTAGCACTGGGCATTAACCAAACAGTTATGACAAAGCATTTGAAATGAAAATTGCAGTGTGATAAAGCAGCAGGAACTGGTTTGCTAATGGCCACCTATGACAGACCTTGTCCTGTATTTGCATATATATCTAACAGTTGACTCATTATTTTCTGGGAGGGAGACAAAGGACCTGTTTAATTATAGTTGAGGTTACTGTTGCATGCATTTTGTGCCTGGTGGTTGAGGGAAGATTTTTTTCCTTGTGCTTTTCTGGAGCAAAGTAACATGTTTGGGGATGCACAGCCTTGAATTTTTATCTGTGTAGTACATGCTGTTGTTGATGTTGGAGTTTATTTTGCATTTATTATTCTAACTAGAGTTGTTTATACACTGAAGTACCACAATCTGTCTAGAGACTGTGGAGAATGAATGAGGTATGGAGCCAGAGTTTTAGGCTTTTTTGTAATCTGTTTAGTTGGCCTTTCTAGTCTCTGAAATGCACATTACTATTACTGGATTGCAATAATCTTTGTTTGCACCAACACGGGTTTATTTATGCTGCTTTAGAGTTGAAATACTGAACAAATACTGTTCTGTGACAAAATCGTGGGAAAACCAATAATCTCTATTTATTTCTTCCATTCATAGCTTTGTACCTTTTCTCCTTGATTTTTTCATTTTACAGAGGAGTTTAGTTTTCTCCTGTATATTCTTAGTGTTTATTTTTAAATAAAGCTGAAGTAATACTCAATGCAAACATCTCCCATTTCCATAGAAATGGAGGGCGTTAAAAATTGTGAGACGCTGAAAAGAATCTAGAGTCTTACAGGATTGAACCCTGAGTAGTGACTAAACTATCTATTCTGCCAGAAGGGTGGCTTTGCCTGTTTCCTCCAACATTTCCTTCTTTGGTAATGAAATGCAGATATCCCTAGACTAGACCAATTTATTGACTCAGCAGTTGTGTTTTACATTCAGCAAGGAATTGTGTAGGATTTATTTTGCTCTTTTTCAAAGCAGAGCCAATACCACCTGCTCCATGAATAAGCTCAAAATTTTTGGTGGTGTCAGAAGTGATGCATAAAAGTACCTTGAATAAGGGTTTATTTGCATTAGGAACTAATTTGCAAAAAAGCCAACTTGCTTTTTTCCCTTCAGACAATCTTGGCCTAGTTGTTTAACTTGATTAACTTAAGTTGTTTATCTCTTCTGAAAAGGTAATAGTGCTGCTTTTGTTAATGAAATTCCTTTTGCCAACAGGGGAACTGCAGGGAGAGAAGGGAAAAAAATCAATTTTTGCTGATTCTATATGCAACTGTTTTGCAGGCTAGCTATAGGATTTTTTTCCTTGCTTGCAGCTGATATTCTGATGGCAAATCCCAAAGAGTTAAACTTTAAACACATTTTAAACACACAGCTGTTTAGGACGGAACAAGGAATTTAAACAGCTACAGTAACCAGGACTATCAAAACACTTTCAAGCAGTAGGACCTTGAGCAAGTTGCTGTGTTTTGTTTAAATTAAGTATTTCTGCTTTTGTCTTCCTGCGTAACAGCCTGAATTGGTGGATAAGTCCAGACCTTTCAGGGTGGCTACATCTTTGTTGCTTGCAAAGTATCTGACACCAGACACAGCTCTGGCAGAAACGAAAGTCCAGTAGCAACAAGCCTAGTTAAGGATGTGTTCTAATTTAATATTTAAATCGGTCATCCCATTGCAATGAAAGATCCTTATCAGGCTAAAGCTGAAAGGGATTCTTTGAGCTGTGAAGATGGGAAATTGGTGCTTTCAGAGTAGCTGTCTTGGAACACTTCAACTGCTGCACTAGGATTTCACTGGATTCTTTTAAATGGGAAAGAGAACAGTATTTTGCAAACATCAATGCAGAGACACAGGATAGCAAGACAGATTGCAGAGCAATCCAGTTGTACAGCCTTCATATCATAGGGCAGATGGATGCTTTACTGCTTGGGTAGTGCTAGCAGTTACAAAATCACGAGTGTAAAAGCTAATAAAATACCCATGATCTTGTCCTTGGATATAAAACTTTGATTCAGAGGCATCTGTGTAATTTTGCTGAAATTGCAACTCTGCAGGCAGCTGAGACAACACAAAAGCCTGTGTGTGTAAAAAGGGAGGGGCAAAGACAGTTTTCCCAACTCTCTTTTCTCAGCTCACACCTATCATCCCATCAACACAATAGCAACATCTGTTACCTTTTTTAAAATTCAGTCAGTTTTTTGTTTCAAATGATTTCTGTGTAGACAGGCCTGCACTAGACCATTCATTTCAAACTGAAGTGCCTTCAGCCCATACACAAAACAACAGAAAACTGTTACTTCATAGGTGGTAAGATTTCTATATGCATTCAGAAAACTTCAGTGAATATTTACTTGTCTCTTATTTGTCATTAAATGCACAATTCATGGGCAATAGAGAAGATGACTTTTAGAAAGCTGTGCCCACCACCCACCCCCAGCTGCACATTCTACCTTTTTTCAAATGGGTCCCAACTGAGATCTGAGTCCCAGGTTCTAGATTTGAGAACCAACCATCCAGGTGAAAATAATTCTGATTTTGGTTCTCTCTCTCAGGCTGTGATTCAAAAGCCCTTTAAAATACCCAGCAGTGTTGCATGACATTTTATAATGTTGGTTGCTGAATTATATTATAGCAACTTATGAATAGCTGACAGACCAACATGCCTGAATTAAAATGCCAAAATGTTTGCAGTGTTGTGTCTTTGAGAATAAGCATGCAGAATGAACAAATCCACCAAAATGTGGCAGGTCTTTAGTGCTGTCAGGATACCACGTGCTATACCAGGTACTGATCACTAATCTAGTAGGCTCCTCTTCGTAACAGTTGGATATGGGCAGTCCAATTCTGCTAATAATGTGAGAGTCAGGCCTCTTTTTGTCATCTATTTACTAATCATGGGATGTCAGTTGCATTTCAAAATATTTCCATGACATGTGTGGTAAAAAGCTATTTTGGCTTTTTCCCAACTTTTTACTTAAGGTACTTGTTACTGTTTTCACTGCCCTTCCATTTGTGTAAGATGGAAAACTTGTGGCCTCTAGTGGAGAGATGGCACAGGAGCAATTAACAGAGTATGCAGAGAAATCAGAACTGGGGATTGTATCTCCTGTAGTCAGAGGCATTGGAAAATAGCAGTATAATAGCAAAAGAAGCAGCTTCTCTGATACTTGTGGCAGAGGAGTTCAGAGCTGAAAACAGCCACATGTGAAAGCATGTGTTTATTTCCAAAGACATTGAGCTCCATATTTGAGAATTTCAGGAATTTGCTGGTAGTCTGTTTTAATGCAAACAGCAAGTGTTTGACTTAAAGCAGCAGAGCAGGTGAAAAATGCAAATATTAAGCCTCTTACACTGAAGTAAGTAGTAAAATTCACTGGCCAGTTTCCATTTCTGAAAAGTTAACTCTAATTACATTACAACTCTTCTATGTGCCCTGTTGTACAGTAAAGAAAAAGTGGAACTAACTCCAAGATGTGTGCTTATTAGAGCTCCAACCTTAAAAATTAAAACACTAGTAAATAAAGGAATAGAAAAAAACCCACTAAAATTGCATGCATCTCTTCTGCATTTTGAGTGAAATGAAAATGTCTGTCTTGATTGGAAAGAAGTGATTGTGACCTGCTAGTTTGAAAATGGGTTTTGAGCTGCTTATATGGATGATGTGTCTCTGTAAGTAGACTCTGCTTTACAGAACCTCTGTCTGCTTTGGTTGTGTTGACTATTTGTGCTTTGACTTTTCTGAGCATCATGTTGTTGGTTTCTCTTTTGTAAAGGACACTGAAGCCATGAAAAGAGCTTTAGCCTTAATAGATTCAAAGATGAATCAGGCAAAAGGTTGGCTGAGAGATCCAAATGCACCACCAGGTAATATTTCAAAAAAATAACTGCATAAAGTATTTTGATTTTTAAAGGTCTTAATTCTGTTGTTTATGACAACATTGTCTTTAAGCATTAATAACCCACACATAGTGGATCATTCTGAAGGATCATTCTGTATTTATTCCTTTCTTTAGACATTAGAGATTTGAACAAGTTGTGCCTAATGACCTGGAAAGCTTTGCTGCTTCTCAGTTGTCTAAAAAATATATTCTGTATAACATACATGTTCATAATTTGCATTCCAGTAGTAAAACCAAAAACTTAGAATTGCATTGAACAGTACTTAACTGCAGTGGTTGTTAATATTTAAAGACCCTCCTTTTTTATTTTCAAATTTGTATAACTTTAGGGTTTCCTAACAGAGTCTCTTTAAGCCTTTTTCTTTCAGTCTTGACATAAAATTTTTAGTATGAAAATCTGCCATAAATACTCTAATTTCAATCACTTTTACTTATATAAGGGGTTTGCCTTTGTATGTATCATTAAAGAAGGTGAAACTGGATAGAGGCCTGTTCCATTTGGATTTGAAAGACCTTATTGGAAGGATTTCCTCTGAAATCCAAGCCAAAATAATACAGCTGTAAAAGTTGGCCATGAATTTTTGGGTTTTGGTGTACATCTCATAGCTTTTGATAAATGTGTTTTCATGAGTTAATCTAATGCAGTTAGTGTGTTGTGACATGAGGACACTAGTAGTTCACTCCTGTGTGTCAAGGAATGTCCTTTTTGTTGTACTAACTGACTTTGCATCTTAGGGGATGCTGGTGAGCAAGCAATAAGGCAGATCCTTGATGAAGCTGGAAAAGCAGGAGAACTGTGTGCAGGCAAAGAACGCAGAGAGATTCTGGGAACATGCAAAACTCTGGGACAGATGACTGACCAGCTGGCTGACCTCCGAGCTAGGTAAATCTATTACTTGGATGGGACAGTTTTCCAGTACTATTGGTTTTTTTTCTGAACTTGCAGTTGTGTCACTTCCTAACCTGTAGGAGAGCAGGACAGTAGCTGTATTTTGCCTTTTTTTTTTTTTAAACTTAAGTCTTTTCCGATAAGAAGAATGATATGCTTTAATGAGGGAAATGTTAATTATATAACATGATGAATAGAATTACTCAGGTAGATAATTAGGCATTGGCTTAATGTCTAACACATAACTTTCTTCCAAATTAGGCTCTACTGTTATGTTTGTTCTCCAAAGAGGATATACCCCAAGTACTACATGAATATTCTGGTTTTTAGGTGTTTATTGGGATGTTGGACCACATGCAGTGGTTGTCGTTGTTTATCAGTCACTGATAAATTCTGCTGAACTTCATGTGTTTCTTGCACAGAGTTTTATTATGCCAGAGCCTTTTATCAGTTTTCTGCCCCATTAGGAATTGGTTATTCTTTCACAATGGTGTTTTTGAGTTTAATGGGTTTTGTTTTTAGGCAGCAGATGAGTGTCTTTAAGTTTACTGCATTTTTGTGGCCTTTTGTTCTTTTACCAGGAAATAGTATGATATTCCTTTGCGAAGGCATAAAGACAATGAGCTAGGAAATAACTCTTGCATGTAGTTTGATCACTGTAACCCAGTTTCCTTTGAGTATAAGGAATTTTTCAGCTGCTTATCAATGTAGTAAATTGTTCAGCTAGAGTGCTTTAATATTGGTTTCTTTATTTTCTTGTAATACTCCTCTCCACCCTGCAAAAATAGCACACCCAGAAACCCCAGAAAGCTATTCATTGCATCCCATTAAGGATACAGGTAATAGTTTAATAGAATAAACTTTTCTCCTTAATGTTAATATATTTTTCAAGTCATCTGAAAAAGCAACAGAAGTCAAGAGTGTTTTATTTTAAATAAAATTAAAAAAATAAAAGAAAAAGTTTTAGGTAAAGTTAAGTGCCTCTTCCGACTTAAGGCCCATGTGAAGTGCAGGAAGTCATTAAAGTGATGTATATTAGCTATAATAGAAGTAGTGGATCTTCTCTTAGATTTCCAGCTGATAGACCTGAGAGAATTTAAGAGCTTCTTTGCACCAGTTTTTTCACAGTGTGAAAAACTGGGCTAAGTTCTTACTCTTGTTGTAAAGCAGTGGCTTTGTATTATGTGAAATGTTTGGAGGTAAAGGAAGTGACAGGACCTGGTCTACTAACAAATACATTAGTTTATATGCTGGTTTAATTTGTAAACAATTTCAACTCAAACTGTGAGAAATAAGGTATAAAGAAATGTATCTAGAAACTCAGGCCTGGCGGTATAAACACAGCTCAGCATCTCAGCAGCATCCTTGTCATCCTTCCGCTTCCTATCATATTTTGAAAGTTAGTAGTTTGATAAAGTTAACATACTCACAAAGCTTTCCAGTAGCTGATTTTGGAATGGAGAGGGAGATTTCTGGTGCAAAACAAATGTACTCAATCTGAAGTAATCTTTCTATCCATCTTTTAACTGCTAAGCATTTGAACAAACAGTGGTAGTGCTGCAAATGGTTTTCCACAGCCCTGTAAGTTTGCATTGCTAGCATCCTTCTCAGTCTTTTATGAAGTCTTACCAATAGCCTTTAATCTACTTTGTCAACATGACTGAAGCAGCTAAGACAATTTATTTTCACTGAGTGACTTGCTGTCCTCACTTAAGTGTGGCAAGACAACTCCTGCAGTTCTGACCCTTTGCAGTAGTCTATAAATAAGGAGATAAGAGGCCTTGTCCTGGGTACTTTAATGGAACTGTATCCTTAAACAGGCTTACTTTGTGACACTTAGAAAATGTTTACTCTTCTGAGGATGCTCAATACCACATTTTGGAATGGGGAAAATATGCTCTTAATTTTTATCTCTTCTTGTTGTCACGTTCCTCCTCAGTTATTTTTTGCGTTCTTTGGCAGGAAAAAAATTCTGATTAAATACTATGTCTCTTACAATAATTGCTGGGAATGCTCATAAGCAGTTTTTGTTGCCTCTTCACTAGCAAAGAGCTTTTTTTCAGTCCTGAGTTGAATCTGTGGTGCTCTTTTTGTCTTGGGCAGAGGACAGGGTGGCACACCCATGGCTATGCAGAAAGCACAGCAGGTGTCACAAGGTCTGGATTTGCTGACTGCGAAAGTGGAGAATGCTGCCCGAAAACTGGAGGCCATGACAAACTCTAAGCAGGCAATTGCTAAGAAGATTGATGCTGCTCAGGTACCACTTCAGAACACGATTACGTTACTGCTGTTAGAGCTGTTACGCTGAACTGTTGTAGTTGTTTCCAAACAAAACACAGTTATTTGACAGGAAGGACATGTAGGGGATGCTTGTTTTAACAACGGAAAATCTTAAATTTGGTAATTTACAGTGTGCTGTGACTTTAGCTAAAGCTTATGACTTTTTTCCTAACTTTTTTGTCATTGCTAAAATTTCAAGGTTATTAAATTAAAATGGTGAAGCACCCTAAATTTGCACATGAACTAAAGAAAAGAGCAGAGGAGTTTTAGACTGCACAAATTTACCTGTAGGTAAAACTAGAGCCCTTTCCTTCGGGTTGTTTTGAGAGTAGAGTTCAGGATTTAGAACTATGTAGTCTGAGAAAAGTGAAACAGTATTATGAAACTACATTTTCTTTTAATTAATCCTTTATTTTTATAAGTCTTAATATCCCTCGGTGGTCAGTCTATTACTCAGTGATGATGATGGTAATCAAATAATGACCCTTCTATATACACCTTATCTAAATGTGTGTATGTGTATATAATTATCAATATATATAGATACAATAGTATATATCCAGTTAAATGGTAATGGGACATTTTAGCTCTGTAAAGAATGTCACACCGTGCTCAAAAGTATCTGTTCTCATTTTTTTCCTGAAAGCCACATGATCTGTCTCTAAAGGCATGAGTTGAATTTTACTTCTGAAAATATTGTTGGCAAATACTGAGGAGAAAGAAAGGTCATGCAAAATCTTTGGGTAGATCTTTTCTAGTTTTACATCTTTTCAAAACCGAAAAACTGCAAGACAACAGAGTAGCTTCATGGTATCTAATAAACAGAAATTGCTTTTCGAGAAGTGTTTTCCGTTACATAAAGTTTTGAAACCATATTGTTTTGTTTTTATTTTTGGGTTAAGATCACCCATAGAAATAATATTACTGTTTATCTTCACTTGTGCACAACTTCTTTCTATTAAGAATTGGCTTGCAGATCCCAATGGGGGCAGTGAAGGAGAAGAACATATCCGAGGAATTATGGCTGAAGCAAGGAAAGTTGCAGAGCTATGTGAGGAACCTAAAGAAAGAGATGATATCCTTCGTTCCTTGGGGGAAATCTCTGCTTTGACAGCTAAGCTGTCAGATCTGCGGCGACAGTATGTATTGGTTTTATCACCTTTAATTTATTTGAATGACTTTCATTTGCAGTTCCCAATTCTGAGCAAAACCAGAATATTGGTGATTAATTGGGGAATATATTTTCCCCCAAGAACTAGGAATGGACATCTTATAGTTCTGAGTTTCTGTCCTGCATTTAGTAAAATTTTTAACATCCTTTAAGAAAACCTAATTTATAAAATATGATATCCTCTGTAATTCTTCAACCTAGTGATTTCTGTCTCAGAGCCCAATGTGCACTATCTTCCTCAAAAAAACCCCAGTGAGATAATGTGAAACTTAAGTTTGTTTATACAGACAGATATCATCACTGTTTTTTGCTAAGCACTTTACTAGGTGTCAGGGTGGAATATCTACCACTTCCATCAGTGTCAGTGTTTTAAGCTGTAACTGCAAACTATATAAAAGATAAGACTTTCAGAAATTATATTTCTGGATCAGTTTTGCAAAGAGGAGGCTTGAGAATGGAAGAGCAGAAATTGTTATTGTATAAACTGTGATCTTCATCTAATATCAGTTGCAATATGGAGATAAATATTTTTATTACTTCATTAATTAGATGCTTTAATCAAGTTTTTCTTGAGCTTTAGCTGCTGCAGGTCTTAATGTGCTATCTCTTGTCAAGTTTATGTATAGTCTTTGATTTCTGGCTTGTAATCAGTATGGCATTATTGCAGTTGCTCCTAAGACAGCCATGGATATGGGAAATCAAGTCATACATCAGTATTAACAATGACAGGACTATGCCTTCCCCTAGCTCAGTGCTGTGTTGGACATATGTAATATCCAGGTACCACAGCAGAGAATTGCTCCTCTGAGTTGCAACTCAAGTGTCAAAGTTAACCTTATTTAAAAAGAGGAAGTACCTTTCATTGTGTCTCCCTGCTGAATTTGGGCTAGCTGTAAATAATCTTGACATGACTATTTATTATTTTTTTAATCCTTAGTGGGAAAGGTGACTCTCCTGAGGCTCGTGCATTGGCTAAGCAAATAGCTACATCACTTCAGAATTTACAGTCCAAAACAAACAGGGCTGTAGCAAATACTAGGCCAGTTAAAGCAGCTGTGCATTTGGAGGGCAAGATTGAGCAAGCTCAAAGGTGGATAGACAACCCTACAGTTGCTGATCGGGGAGTAGGTAAGTGTTTCCATGTGCTCTACCCTGCCAAGTTTTACAGTTAAACTTGTTAGTATTTTTTGTGGTGGAAATTACTGCTCCTGAGGTGCTGAGGATGCGTTGAATTTCTTCACTGGCGTGGGCACCTGCAGTTTGTGACTGGTGATTTATAACCAAGTCCTGGCTGCAATATTATGGAATTAAGCTGGACTATGATTCTCTTCATGTTCTGGAAAGAGCAACTTCCCTATCCTTTCCTAAAGAATAGGAGGACATGTGCTGTAGAGCAGACAGACTTTAGACTGCTCCTTGTTCTTATTATGCAAATATAGGATCTCAAATTTGAAAATATACCTACTCCAGCAAATTGAGTAATTAAATGCTTTGGAGAAGAGAAAATCATTCATAAACCTGACCTAAAAATATCACTTCTTGTATGGTTTCTGGGTTATCTGAGGAGAATCGTAGAATCAACAAGGTTGGGGGAGACCTCGAAGATCATCAAGTCCAACCCTACCATGGTTATTAGACCATGGCACTAAGTGCCACATCCAGTCTCATCTTGAAAACCTCCAGGGATGGTGAATCCACCACCTCCCTGGGCAGCCCTTTCCAATGCCTGATTAGTCTCTCTGTAAAAAATCTCTTCCTAATATCCAACCTAAACCTCCCCTGGCAGCGCTTGAGTCTGTGCCCTCTTGTCCTACTGCTGGTTGCCTGGGAGAAGGGACCAACCCCCACCTGACTGCAACCTCCTTTCAGGGACTTGTAGAGGGTGATAAGGTCTCCCCTGAGCCTCCTCTTCTCCAGACTAAACACCCCCAGCTCCCTCAGCCTCTCCTCATGGCACTTGTGCTCGAGTCCCTTCACCAGCCTCATTGCTCTTCTCTGGACCTGCTCCAGCACCTCAATATCCTTCTTGAACTGAGGGGCCCAGAATGCTACTAATCAAAGAGAAAGGGGATCGGATAATCTAAGTATGCTATCAGTGAGTTGCTGTACTGACAGTTTGTTGCAAACCACTTCAGAAATTTATTGGTTTTCTTCTTTTGATGCAATTGAAAGTAGATACATGAAGCTTGACAACAGGATTCAGTCATCTTTTCCATAGCAGTTAAGTCTGAGCAGTCCAACTGACATAGAGTAGAAGCCTTATAGGAAGTAGTGTAACTGCAAACCTTTAATACCTCTTCCTCATGCTTATCCCTGTCTGTCCAGCTAACTTCTGTTGTGTTAATAACCAATGAGACATCCTTGAACTAGAGATTTAGTGATGTTGGTAGCTTGGACACTTGTGAAGTCCAAATTTATACGAAATATTTTAACAGAGTAGTGGAGTTCCATGTTTTGGCACTTTATGATGCGCAAATTGCACATAGAATGAGATGACCAAGAAGGTAGTAGATAGGTCTCTTGAGATATTATTAGAAAAGAAACAAAGGTGACATATCCCCTGTGAAGTCTGTAAGCCCCTAGTAAATCTTGAGGCTTCCATATGTACTGGGAGCTTGCTGAAGGAACTGAAGCTTCTCTACACTGGACATATACTACAGAATTTAATCAAATACTGGAGTAATACATACAACAAAAATGTGTGTAGAGATGCAAGATGTGGCATGTCCCATAACTTTAACATTTCTACTTTAATAAAAAAAATTCTAGTTGTAACATGTCATTGTATAGTTTTCTCATTTGTCTTTCACTAGCACTGGCTCTTGGCAGGGTACTTGTAGGAAAGGTATGTTAAGAATATAAATCAGATATGTTCTGTCTTCAGTCTGGACAGCACTTCTGGTGAATTTGGCCTAATATTTTCAGTGTTATGATAAGGTGAAAATACTTCAGTGTTCTCTGTAGTAGTAGGGACCTTGTCACAAATAACCCTGTGTGTTTGCCATTATCACAGGGTAGTGCTTTGACACAAACTGAACTCTGAAATAACAAGGCAGAATGTGTATGTTATTTTATAGCCATGTGAGCTACTTTAGTAGTGTTAACTGCCACAAATATTTACTTGCAGTCACATTGTGAGTTATCCTAGCTAAGTGATGGCTGAAGTGGTAGTAATTGGCAGATGCAAACTAGGCAAGATGTATTGAAATAATAAACTGGTGTAATGAAGTCTAGTTGCTTGGCTGCACTTGACTTAGGCAAAAGAACAATTAAAAAACCAGCTCGAGACATTCTGACAGCACCAAACTTGGCTACACTAATAAGCTTTCTAAAATGATGGTGTCAGTGCTGAGTGATTCTTGGATAGTCTAGTACTGACAACTTCCTGAGGAATTTTGAGCTTGATCACGAACTTGGATTACTTGTGTGTTACCATTAGCTTCAAATTATTCCTTGGTAGGTCTTTGAAGGACTTAATACATGATGATTCTTTTAAAAGAATACTACTATTGTATTATGAAACAACAGAGAATTACATTCCTGTGAAAGAACAGGAAGTGTCTGTAAGTGAATGAAGGAAATAACCCATGCTAAAAATAAATTTTTTTACAGAAAAACGTTCGATGTACTGTGGAGGCTTTGTAAGGTGTTCCCTACCCCCACTGCCCTCTCCAATCCTGGATACTTGATGCTTCTTATCCATGATTTCTAGAATTCTAGGAGAGGGATTCTGCTTTTTTATTTCTGTATTCTAACTTGGTGTTTCTCCCCTTCTTTCTGCTCATTTTCTAAAGATCTGGGGATGAATTGCAGGACTTGGAATTTGTAAGTGCTTTCTATTGCAGCTAACAAATTAGTTAGGTAGAAATACTTGACAGCTGTCATGGTTAACTTCTGTCAGACCACCCTGGTTAGAAAGGATGCATCTCCAGCCAGAGTTTCTGAAATAAGCAAAAATAAGCTGGAGAGAGTTGAATTCCTCTGTGAGTTTGAACTGCAGTTACTCAATGATAAACTGCAGATATTTTCCACTACCTAGAAAGGTGTTCTTAAAAACCCAAGAATTCTGAAGTGTCACTTACTTCATGGTGCATCTGATTTGTGCATTCAGTATTTTGCTCTGCTGTGTGTTAGTGTAAGATGATTTCTTCCACTGCAGGCCAGGCAGCAATTCGGGGTCTGGTGGCAGAAGGTCGTCGTTTAGCCAACGTCATGATGGGACCTTATCGCCAAGACCTGCTTGCCAAATGTGACCGTGTAGACCAACTGTCTGCTCAGCTGGCTGACCTGGCAGCAAGAGGGGAGGGAGAATCTCCTCAGGCCAGAGCAATTGCTGCTCAGCTTCAGGACTCACTGAAGGTAAAAATCTGCCCTTGTGCAGGGAAGCACATGATATACTGAAGTACTTGCACTCCTTTGAGAAAGCACCTTCATGTGTGAGGCACCAATGAAAACAAAAGTGCAGCAGAACACCTATTGGTTTAGCTGAGATGTTTAAAGCAAACTTTGTACAAAGGCCTTGTTATCATGTTAATTCCAGATGAACAATTTAGAAGGAAAATCCAAGTCTCTTTTAAAAGAGAACAGTATGCTAGCATTTCAAGTTGGTTTAAAAGAGAACAGTATGCTAGCATTGCAAATTTGAGGGACAAGGTCTCAAATTGAGCTGTTCGTAGCTTCGCGAGGGACAAGGTCTCAAATTGAGCTGTTTATAGCTTCAAGGAGTGATGGGTAAGCTTCATGTATTTCAAATTATGTAAACAGTGATTAATTGATCAGGCTTTTGAAGTAATTTTATATTAATGTCTGCCATTGGAATGGGCTTCTCTTTTATGCAAGAGGAGGTTTTATGGGATTTGAATACCTACAAACTTTATATCCCTGTATCATATGCTAATTTCCTCTTTTTTTAAGGATCTTAAAACACGGATGCAAGAGGCAATGACCCAGGAAGTTTCTGATGTTTTTAGTGACACCACAACTCCTATTAAATTGCTAGCAGTAGCAGCCACTGCTCCCTCTGATGCTCCCAACAGAGATGAGGCAAGTATACACAGGTGGTCTTCCCACCTCAAGCTTCAGTTATTGTTTAACTTTATCTGAATTGGTAAAAAATAAATCAGTGTTCTGAAAAATGGATTGGTATTTTTTCTCAAGTTTGTGATACATGCTTATTACTTCTGACAGCATAATGATTACTATCCAAATCTCTCTGGACTTTTGGAGACTGTGAATTGTATATCCCTGGAAACTCTGTTGTCCTTGACTTCAATAAATGGCAAAGATGTCTCCCTGTGTTGTTGGTGCCACATTGCTTTCAGCAGGCTAAAAGCTCTTGTGCAAAAATCACTGACACACTAGTTAGTGAATTTTATAGTGCAACACTACATAAGATGATTACAATAGTTCAATTCATGCCAGGGCTGATCAACAGATTAAAGCTGTTCTCTTGCTGGAAGATCATTTCCTGTACATCAAAGCTATTAGCTGCACATGAAGTATCTAAAACTCTCTGTCTGGCAGCTCTGTTTGGCTAGTTTGTTGAAAGACGATCAAAATGATTCTCAAGGCCTTGGAGAATTCAGCTTTATGACAGGATAGCTTTTTGTCAA